ACTTATTTTTGGTTTATTTTTGGTTTTCGGTTTTTGAGAGATTCAACCGAAACCGAATCGAAATCTATTCGGTTAACACTAAAACCGAACAAATAAAACCGAAAACCGTTGAAACCGAACCGAATTCATTTTTTCGGTTCGGTTTTCGGGTAAACAATCGGTTCGGTTAGAAAATGCCCAGCCCTGCGAAAAAGTGTCGACAATTTGGTTTGCCAACTCAGCATTCGGTTTCCAACTGTTATGTAGGTCATGTAATGCGAAACCGTTTTGGTTCGTCTGCGGTCAGTTCCACCTACACTTGGCTGATCTACCCGTGTTCTCTTACGCTAAACCCAGTCAACGTTGACCAGAAGAAACGGTCAACTGTTTTAACGAAATTCGTGGGCTTATCGTGATGATGTGCATGACATGCCATGAATCCATATGATAGTGTATAATCAGAGCGTTAGTGTCTTTTTTGTTTTTTTTTTTAATAGAGTTACATTGTGGAAAATGAAGAAATGAAAAGTACTAGAACTTGAGTCTAGTGAGACGTGCCATGTAAGAAGCAATCAAATTTTTTTTTTTTTGGTAATATAAGCAATCAATTATTTTACTCGGAGCTTCTCGGAGGGTTTCATGTCTTCATTTTAAGATTAATTAAAAAATTAACGGTTAACTAAGAAAAGAAACTCCAATTACAGTATTTAAAAAGTGCTGATCAATTTGAATTATACAATTTAAACTATTGAAGGGTGTGTCTCCTATTTTTAATAATTGTTATTTTTTTTTATATAATAGTTCATATTTTATAATTTAATATATTTTGAATTATAAAATTTAAGAGTATTATATTTTAGCAATCAATGTTGTCATTTTAGAAAAAAAGAGAGTTGTAGAATCTAAACTGGTTGTTCTTCAAGTGGATTTAGGCATGAAATTACTATTATGTTATTAACAAATGACAAGGAGAGGAAAATGAAGAGGCACAAATTGATAATTATTCACGTTTAGAATGGTTGAATAAAATGGACTGTTATTTATAAATTGATAAACTCTTATTTTTTAATTACAAATCATAAAAAACTGAGTACAAATCATCAATTTGTGCACGTAACATTCTTTTTTTTTTTATTTTTTTATCTTAGTTGTACAATAGAAAATAAATTTTTTTCATTTTTTATTTCACTCCATTCATATGCCATGTAATTCGAATTCACAATTTTTTATTTTTAATAAAAAGAGATAACCACTAAATTAGATTGTTGGTGTAATATTTTCTTTTTTATTTGGCAAAAAAACATTCAAAGCATTTTTTAATTTTTTATTTCATTGGTTTGAATGAATTAAATATATACAAAACAAAATTTTTTTTTCTCAAACTCATTTTTTGATCGTTTAAATACTCATACTTAAAACGTAAAATCTTTAAACATGACAGCTTGAATTTAAGATTTTATCCACATTCGAAGTGCCCTTTTTCTTTCTTTCCAAACATCGGTGAGTATACTAATGGAAAAGCAACAATAATGCAGGTTGCTTTAATGAGAAAATAACAGGTAACAAACATCAAGATCTAGCTACCAACTTTTCTTTAGTGATCCAGCTTTGCACTAACCCTCTGACTACTTCAAAAGCACCTAACATTCTGTATGACCAACGCTCTAATTGATGAAAAAAATATTCAGTTATTAGGGCATCAGGGTTGAAGGCGATATGAAGAAGTGTGCTTACCAAGTCCTCATAGATGACGTGGCCCCAGAGCTGATCATCTTCCCAGGCATTGTCCAAGTTCTTCTCTCTAATTAACAAGTTGGATGGTAAAGAATGATGATGAGAATGATATTTATATATCAATAAATTTAACTTTTAAAATTATTTATTTTTCGTATTTGTACATCATTGGCAATTAAAAAATTTTCTCCAAAATTTATCTTAGGTTTTGGTCCCAATAATCTTTTTCTTATTTGTTTTTTGTTTGTTGGTTTTTGTTTTTGGTTTTTTTTTTTCATAACTAACGACAATAGCATTAAAACAAGAATACGATTATATTAGTGGTGTCTGTAGAAACCACTGTATTAATAAAATTCCAAAACGAGGGATGGATCACTAATTTATATATATCAAAAATAAAAATAAAAGTCCCAAAACTATAGAAAATAAAAAAATTATATAGTATTTTTATTAAAAAATAATTTAAAAGCAATATTACTAAAAACATCTATTTATCTAATAATATATGCGAACGGCCACTTCGCCCAGGACATTGAACCATGGATTAGGGTTATTCACTTCCAGCGAATTGCACGTTCGAATTTCACAAAATTTCTTTCCTCCCTTATCCAATTAACCGTGCAAATAATTACAAACTGTAAAAATAAAAAAAAATCTAATAATATATGCAAAAATACGGTAATAAAAAGACTGTCTCAGATGAGTACCGCGCATTTTTATCACTTCTGTTTACTTGACTTGTGGTCTTCTCCCTTCCCAAGCCCAAACGATACATTGACTTTTCATCCAGCTCTCTTCACTTTCCCCTCTGAAACAATCCCGTTTTCTAAACCCATTTCCAGATATCTGTGTTCATATCCAGCGTTGCTTTTCAAAGTATTACATGTTACGAGGACATGTAATAAGCCGATGAAGAGGTTGCTGCTGATGATTTCGCTAAATGTGGGGTATTCTACTGGAGAGCTGGGGATTGGACAATTTACTGGTCGTATTAGTGAGTTTCAATTTCTGCTTCCTTTGAATATGTTCTAAGAAATGTGGAAATTAGAGTATGATGCTTATATATTCTAGCAGATTTGAAAATGGGGTTGCAGTGCAGCTTTACTGCTTCGTGGTTCTATGCCCTTTTCAATATCATAATTCATAAATAAGATGTGCACTGTAGTTCATAATATCAGGGTTTCTGTTTAGATGATTAAAGCTTTTCTTTGTTCCTCAATTTTTTATTTTTATTTTTTTGCAGGTTTGGTATCAGCTCCATTTCATTTGACATTTGGCTTTGGCCGTTTATCTACACTTCTGGATGAGATATGAATATGTTTTTGTCATACAGAATGAAGTTTTAAAAACCTTTTCGCTCTTGGAGTTGCCAAGTTGATTTCTTTCTTTCTGCTACTTAATTTTTGCAATAATGTTTTCTGTTTATGAGTCCTTCAACTATTTGTTAAGTTGTTTGCTGCCAGGAAAGGCAACTCTGGCTGGGTTCCTCTACTATAGTATACCACCCCCTATATAGCTAAGAGACATGCACCCTTGTTCAGATAAATAAAACTGAAGATTGATGTTTTTCTGTTTCAAATAATTTTATTGAAATTACATGTATGACTGGGTGGTTGAAATGTAAACATTTAACTCTTTTCATTGGTCGGGCATAAAAGTCTAAAAGTTTTGGCTGCTTTCACCAACGCTGTATGTATTTGTGTTTCATGCACTCAATCAGTTTGTCTTATTTCTTTAAGTAAGCTTGAATTTTATGTACATATAACCAAAATATGAATAATAATGAACTTAATAATGTATTTAAGAGGTAATGGATGAGAAAACTTTCTACTAATATCTTGCCTGATGAGAGTTGTGATTAGCATATTCTTGGAGGATGATGAATAGATGATTTCAGAATTAATTGCATTAACTGAAAGTGGAGATGCCCTTCCTCCAGCACCCCAGCTCACCTTTCCTCATTTCTTAGTTTATAAATATGGGGTGTTGTCAATAGCACTGGTCCACCATATAGTACTGTTATTCTTCTAGTTTTCCTGTGTGTTGTGGTTAATGATATAAAATGGCTAACATCTTGATGTTCTTTGATTTTGCTGCACGTTTAGGCAGCTGTTTCTTCTCTTCATCTCATTCTCCTTAGCTGTGGAAGCACTTTATCCATTTATCCAAGATGAATCTGAGCACAAGTAAGCTAGCTGCTTTGCCTTTTTTGTTGTTGATCAGTATGAAACATATTTGAATCTGCGTAACAAGATTCATTAACATTTTACAGTGTTTCTTGTCTTTTTTTTTTTTCTTTTTTTATGTTGATGGGTTTTTCCGATTGTTTCAGCAGTAGCAAATTTGTTGGTGAATCTCATTGGCGTTTGGTTCTTCAGAAATTATGCTCAAAATAATCATGGTAAGCCATATGCTATAGTTCTAGATGAATATGTTTTAAGAGAGCACTTGTTGAGGAGGTTCAATTCATAATGAAAATTTTCAATTATCATTCATATGTTGTATAAAAGCATTATCTAAAGTTACGTGCACAAAAGTCAAAGCAGACAGATAAATAGGAATGAGGGAGTACTTAAGTTGTTGAATAATACATTGTAGCCTGCATATTTTTTGAAAACCTTGGGCTTTAGTAAGTATATGTTTGCCTTAACTAGATTTTCCTACTATTCTCTTTCTTTTCTCTTTGAAAACTAGAAAATGATTGTCCTTCCTACTCTTTTTATGAATGAATATTTTCTTGCAGTATATAGAAAGGCTGAAGATATGAATTACCACTTAGTTTGCTTACCTGTTCTTGCAGATTCCATTCGCAGGTATAGCATCCGCTAATTTTACTTCTTGATGAAATCTGATATTCAAATCCTACTAATGCTCCTCTTCTTTTGTTGTTTCTCGGTGCAGGTTTAATTTTAGCTTCGTGGTTTTTGTCCCTTGGGTAATTTCTTATTTCATATCTTGGGAAAGACTTGTCCTCACTTACCTCATCCATGTTCAACTAATATAATTTCTACTATTATTCCTCTTTGCAGGGTCAACAATGCTGAAGTTTTATGTTTGGGATTAGTTTCAGTAGCAGTCTTCATGCTTGTCATGTCTCTCTTCAAAGCTACTGGGGGTGTATTGCCTCAAATGGCACCACAGCGTTGAGCAAATGCTGGCAGCAGGTTCTCTCTTTTCCAACAAATTTGTGTTTTTTATTTGTAATTTTCATGTTTGAAAATTCAATTTCTGATTAGATTACCTCTTGTGAAGATGTTACAGAAGTTTCCCAAGCTCGCTTTTGGGAACTAGTACCTGGTCATGCCACTGGCTCAATTTCACTACTGGTATTTCACTGTTATTCTTTTATGTTCTTTTTGTGTTTGCTTTCTGCAGCACTGAAAACATATCTAAGTTTCTTTTGGTTTTGGTGGCTATAAGGTTAAGAAACAAATGGATGATCGGCCAGTTCTTGAGATCGTGCATAATTTGTTCCATGATTTGGGAACGCAGCAATTGACAGTGCAGACTGGTAATGAATGAGCTTCGACCTTTTTCTTTCTTCCCTTTTTTTTAGTCCCTGGATTTCTACAATGGCTGACTGATGAGAAAACTTCATAACTGGTTCATAACTGGAATCACTTTCTCAATACTCGATAAAAACAAACTTTGGAAAGGCATATATTGGGATAACTGGTTCATAACTGGACCCTAAACTAGTTAACCTGAAAAACACAAAAACCCAGGAACCAATTTGAACAAAAACGCTAAAAAAACAGACTT